ATCTCGTTACCCAGTGATAAAATATATGTGCAACACCATTAAATAACATTACAATGATGATTACCTACTGGAAGAGGTACGATAATGCTACTGGGATCGTTGTGATTGTTTTAATGGGTAAAAATTGTCTATGTAGTGTAAAAAAAAACACTGACCGTAAAATATTATTAAATTTATAATATAAATAAATAATTTTTGTCGACTAAACCGACAAGCGAATGAAGTGCAATCTGTAGTTTAGCGATTATGCTTTCTTTAGAGAAAAAAAAAATCACAATTTTTGCTACAATACTATTGCAATATTCTGTGTTTGGTCGTTATTCATTTTTTGCTATTCGATAATGGAGTTGTTGTCAATATTAACGTTCAAAGAAACTTTCAAACCGTCTAGTATATAATATGTAAATGATTAACACACGCGTTCAGTGCGTATAGCCGATGTTTATAAAAAAAAAAAAAAATTATTAAGTGGCATGTTAAAACGAAACGACACGGCTGTGCAGTTCTCACGATTGGACCTTGATTGATGTTACTCTCTCCTCGGCAGCTGTCTTAAGGCACATATCGACTATATGCGTATGCAGCAGTTTCGATAGTAGAGGTACATCGATTGTGTGTGTGTTCGACATCAACGCAGTCGATTCGTGACAAAACGGTTATTGAAATTTGCGCCAGCGAGGTTAGGTTTGAGGCCAAAGCTCGTGGAATATATGTTGGCTTTATCCCCTCCCCCACCTTCCCCTATCATCGAGGTCAAATAGAAAAATCACATTACCTTTTCTGTAGTGATGGGAATCAGAAAATCCGGATTTAAAAAAAAAAATCGTTATTTAAAGCTCTTGAAAATCTTGTAAATATTAAATATGATTACAATATAAAGCTGTGTGCCTAAGTAAAATGTTTTTATGAAAATTAAAAAAAAAAAGCCGAACTTTAACAGTGAATTGTTTTCGGATTTCGACAAATCTGAAATCCAAAAGCAGTTTTGGTGGTGTGTTTTATTTTTACATTTTCATCAAAAATATTTTACTTAGTTAAACAGCTTTATAAACAGAAAAAAATACATAGTTGGTCCAACTAAAATTATAGTTAATATAGGGACACAAAAAATGTCTAGTTGGATTAACTAAATAAATAGCCGAGCCAACCCAAATGTTTAGTGGAATCAACTATTTATTTAGTTATAGTTATTCCAACTAGAAATTTATTTTGTCCCATTATATATTAACTATAATTTTAGTTGGACCAGCTTAGTATTTTTTCGCGTTTACTGTAGAATTTTTTAATACTTATTAGATTTTCAAGTGCTTTAAATAGCATTTTTTTTTTGGGGGGAGGGTTTAGTGATTCCCATCGGTAAACCTCGATCACGGGAGACACTCGATTATTATAGCTCTGGTCGGGATTTGTTTTTTACAGGGTGTGCCGCTTGTGTGTTGGTCAAAAGACTGTATGCCACACTCGCCTCCACCACGGACAGCTCACGATGTATAATGGCGGCAGTGGACTGTACCGAAGATTTCGATTTGGCCTTTGCACTCGGAGTGAACAGTCTGCCGACCGCTATATTGTTCTTGGACACTTGCCCGTTTGTTTACGACGGGGACCGGACCATTAACGGCATGAGAAATTTCATTGGCGGTTTGCTGGACAAGAAAAAAAACACTAACGGCTGTGTAAAGGAACCAGTCGCGCCGGCAAAGCCAAACAAAGTGATTAGACCGAAAAAATTGATAAAAAAGTCCAAGCTTAAAAGACCTAAACAACATAAAAATTCTCCGAGCTAACGACTATAATGTTTTTTTTTTTCATTATAATTAATGTGCATTCGGATACAACGCGTGTGTTGAAAGTATGTGAAGAATACATGCTCAGTTAATTTTCGGGACGATAATAATTGTTATTGTTGAACAATAACAGCTCATGTTTTTTAGTTGTTTAAATTCTATACGAATGAGACTTTTTTTAAAATTAAAATTATGATGCCCTTTTATAAAATATTATATTTTTAATATCGAGTAAGATTATAGAGGCTGCCGGGTAGGCTAAATTTCGTTACCGGCAAAAAATATATAAAAAAATCCAGAGCTACTAAATAGTACCTACACGGGACCAACTCATATGGGAAATTTTGTACACAGTGTATTCATTTTTATTTTTTTTTTTTCATGGATATTTAAAACGTTTTTTTAAACTTCCATTCAAACGATTAAATTTGATTTTTTTTCAAAATGTCGAGGTAGTCAATTAAAATAAAAATGTATACAAAATATTGAAACCCTGCATTTAAAATATAATAAATAGTATGTTAGGTAATAATAATTAATAGATTATTGTAGCTTTTATAGTTTTTAGATTTTTCTTTATATTTTTTTTTAACCAGGGGAAATATTTAAAATTATTGTTTATTAGTAAGTGATACAATTGGTTGAGCCCTTGTGTTAATTTGCATGTGTTGAGTAGCAAAACATAAATGTAGAGAAAGTCTACTTAAGAAAGAGCCTACCGGGACCCTTCTTTTCTTTTTTGGTTTAAAATGTAAAATATCGAAGAAACGTTATTACATTAACATAAATCATTACTTATTATGATATTGATTAGCGATTAGCGAAACTACTTTTTATATGTGTATATTTCGCTTAATGATTTTTACATTTAAATTTTGGAACGCTAAAGAAATTTTGTTTCGCCCATATTAAAATATTATAATTTTGTGGCTAATTAATGACCTCGAAAGATTAACATAGAAATGTATAGAAAACAAAAATCTGTTTAGTTAATAGGTCAAACACGGTTTTTTTCTTAGCACCTGCTGTGAGATGACTTCATTTGATGACTGTTAATAGAACAGCTGTCTTTCATATGTATATGGTGTGTGTGAGAATAACGTAGTGGCTAATCTAGATGTACATGTTTATGATAAGTATTCGTTTGATGGCTTTAATAATTGTTATGCTAATGCCTAGTACAAGATATACTTGTACCTATATTATATTTTTATACCAACACAATAAAACGATAAACTGAATAAGTTTATGAATGTTAATATTTTTTGTGAACACACTAAAATACTGAAGTAATACTTCACGGAGTAATTTTCTTACTTCTATTTAATTATTACAAAACTATTAAATCTTAGATATTATTTATATTATTATAAATATTAAATATGTACACTTTCTTGGTTTTATCTTGGCTTTTTCTGCTGTCCGTCATATTAAACTGGGATGCTCAATCAAAATTAATTATCACTTGCCGAAAAAAAGGTTGAACAATCTTAGTCAATAAATCAATTTGTAATACCTACTTCCAACACATTTCTAAACGTTCAGCCGTTAAAAAGGTGTAGTCGACAAATTCTCACAGTCTTAATGGAATTAAACTACACCGGACTTGACTGGCCTACAATTTTTGACATTTCTGGTGTGAGAAATAATGTCATAAAACGTCGGATCTCTGTGATGTCAATACATCAGCGTTGTAACAAATTTGTTTTTTTTTTTGAGAGTACCCAAATGTGCAATAGTTAATGCTTGTCGTGTAAATACATAAGGTGCTCTAGTAACCTTCAATGTGGTAAGTAGTTTCATTTTACCTGGTAGCCGTACAATATCTGTATATCTATTATCTATAATGTTCTGATATCTCATTGTCGAACGAAATCGATTTCTGTGGCCTCATAAAGAGTTAAGTAACAATTTTGAATCAAAAGATCTTTGTCAGGAGGGCCGTGCCCACTCGGTAAATATTGTATTGACACTTGACCGTCAACTGCTGTTTGTAGGAAAATATTAATTTTGTCACTGGGTACTACTAAACGAGATTAATAGATATTTTGTATACGATTCGATAACGACCCAATTACCTACTTATATATTATAATGTGTAAACAAAAAAGTAATGTCAACATCAACTTTACGAGCTTTTTAATAAAGAGATTCTCGATTAAAACACCGTTTTCGTGGTCGACTTAACAATTTAGTTTTTAATTTGCATCCTTACATTCATTTCCGAGTAGCCGTTGTTGCCATTTAAAGTACATCATGCACTATTTTCACACTGTCGGAGGCTAAAGCTAAAAATGACAAACCATGTTCTTTCCCAGAATAGTAACGCAGTAATCGACCATTGACAAAGGCCAGACATTGTAATTCTCTGAAATTTTATTTAATAAAAACGTAGTTCATTTCACGTACAATAGGGTCGATTTAGGAAAAAACTGCTTACACAATTTGTGGTTTGGGCTACAATGCAGTATAACAGTTGTATAGTTTTTTTTAAATATATAAATACACAGGTTATAATTTGGAAATAACTCAATAATGATCTCAGAACAAAAATAAAAATAACTTGGTTAAACAAGGAAAAAACTTAAACATAAGTAAATAAAAAATGTCATCCCAAATTTCATGTTAAAACATATTATTGTTCATTATATATGATATGCAATAGCAACATCTCACATTTATTCCACTTTGAGAACTGAACCCATTTAGGTGATTTTAGTTGTTAGTATTTTTTCATTTAAGATAAGTCTTGAGTTTTTTTCTTATTTTACGGCAAACACAACTTTTCTAGTTTCGTATAAAAAACTCAGACAAGTATAAATTGAACGACAAAAAATACACACACTGAACACATTTTTTAACCAAGTAATAACAGACATTGTGGTTTTTTTTTGACTTAACTGATCCTCAATTTCTCTTATAATATAAATCCTATTACGGAATAGCTATAATAATCCACAGACTTTAATATTTCATATAAAAACTGAAACGTGAGTTGTAGAACAAACAGTATACATTGTTTCTTCATATTGAAGTTCATTTGTATAGTACGATTATTACTCGGCCACACCATAAATCATAATTAGTACTCAAAAATAATTGTTTAAAGTTTATTTTATGATATTATATTAGCAAGGAGAACTTGTGTGTAATAATGCAACGAGGAATTACTTTGGTTCAACAAATTACTATTGAATAAAAATATATACACTATTTGACGGATAAATGTATTTATTGATTTTTACTCACTTTACAAACATTCAACTATTATTATTTAATTTGACCTCAAAAAAATTTCCTTCGTTTAATATGGCTAAAAAATTCATTTTGGGGTTTTATATAATATAATATATTGTTTAAGTGAAAAATAGGAATTGCACAAACAACAGTAGAAGATTAACGGATATGACCTATGACATATATTATTATTGATGAAACATTATTATATAAATTTAATCTACTCAAGAAAATAGTTTATGAAACGTACGCAATTACTATCTAAGCTAAACACTTGTAACACTAAGACGTATTCTAAGTACTACGCGGGGAAAATTATTTCATTAGTTGGCTAAAGCATTGCCAGGAAGTACAACGAACAAAAACATGGCCGAAGATTTAATACTGTAAGCGTAAATGTAAGAGTAATAATATATATTTGTTGATGTATAATATAAAGTTTCATTTTTAATTGACTTCGGCGTCACTGTGATATTCCCCGTTCAAAGCATTCTGAAACATAAAATGTACAAGAGTGATTAATTAATATCATTGAGTATAATGTATACTCAATGTTAATATGTATTTATATTTTTAGTTTATGTGGTTTTAACTGCAACACATTTCTAACCGCAAGTTCTAAGAATCTAAGTAATTATATATTCATAATTATTTGTTTTAATGTTATTACATTGATTTAATGTGAAATCGAATGATTAAAAATAGATACCTAATGATAAACACGTCTAAATTCCTCGTTTACAGTCTTCTCCTTTAGACATCAATCACTTATCGTTATACGTTTTGATTACCTACAGACTTAATGGAAATTAGTTGTAAACAATTTGTCCGTCCTAAGCTTTTGGGTTTGGACTTAACGGGCATTGTGCATTAAAACAAAACATCTAAATAAAAAGCTCTGGAATAAACGAACTCGTTATCTTTGTTTGTATTGTCTACAAGTTATGGGGGCCAATTCAGAACTTGCGTCGCGCCACTTCAATTGATTTTAAAAGCATTAGTTTTTATTGTCCGTCTGAAAACAATGAGCAAATAAAAAGTTCATCGGTCATTATTATTTTGTGTAAAATATTAATAAAGTTTATGGTTGTATAAACGCCTGATAAACTCATGTGCCCATTAGGTACTTGATAATAAAAAGAACAGATATATTATTCTAAATAAAGGTTCAAATAAATATTACATTTAATATTTATTTGTATTTTTAACTTTTTATTTGCCATTTGTTATCAGAGAATACCTAATGGATAGAACCATTTGGAAATCGTTCTTAAGTAGACAGCAAAACCATTTTGACGTCAACAAATTACCAAGTGCACCTAAGACGTGTGGGCGTAGTCTAAAATAAATATTGTAACCTCTGTGTCCAAGTATAATATTTTTGAGTGTTGATGATGGTCGTTCTGGACAAAGGTGCCGTAGAAGCAGAATACGCACTGTGGTTAGCAATCAAATAGACATTATTTCGAAAGTACCTAATTAAATTACTCTGTACAAAAGGATAACGCATCAAGGGTGTGGAATTTCAGCTTCGAATTGCAGCCTCTACTTGTTAACGATTTAGTGTTGTGTTTTTCTAGAATGCGCTTAAGGAATAAGAAAGTGAAAGTAGGCATGCATTCAAAAAATGAAATTCAAACCGGACGATTTCAGCTGTAAATCACACGGATATTAAGAATAAACAAACATAATCGAGTGTTGGATATTATGTGTACGGATTGAATCAACAGATTATGTAAGGAAAATATGATGTAGGATGGTCATCCCTCGTCTGATGTACAATAATACTATGCTTGTTACCTATATCCGTCCATGTAATGTAGTTCAAGGAGACTCGGGAAAATAATACGGTTTGATATTGTTGTATTCGACACAAAACAACCAAACTAATCACGGTCAACAATATAATTATTTTCATTATGCGCGCAACACAATCGAATGCTTTAAATGTGTGGTCGATAAACAACGCGTAAGTCCATGTACATATTATTATGTATAGCGTAAAATAGTTCTTAGAGTATTATTATAATATCTTTGTATAGTGGAAGGCTTGAGCCGGACAGGCAGGCCTGAGAAAAGTTATTTTTTTTCAGTTTAACCGCCCAGTTTTGTGAGCAGGAAATAAAATAAAATTTTAAATATATTGTGTGTTCTATGTCATCTCTCACTCTTATTAGCTATCATTGTATTTGATCGTTTGTGACTCTGATCTTTTGCATGCGTCTAAAGCATGCGGAAAAGCTATTTTCATTTTGTTTTTTTTTATAGGTATAATATTATTGCATTTTGTCATTTATCTATTTGCTTCGAACCGTTAGTGTGGGGGTCGACGGATTATATTGTACTGTTGTGGGTTTCGCTCGTTTCGACGATAACATAACAGTGAACAGTGCAAAAAAAAAAAAATCGGTAGGTATATGTAAATTTGTCGGTCCAAAAACAAAATTACATATTATGAAAGGAAAATAGCGTTTCACACGTTCGGGTGTCTAGTTGTGTAACGGACGTGATCCGGAAGGATCGCCAAGGAGATGACATATGTGATATACTTTACGGGTTTTCTTTTTTTTTTTTTTGCCAACAAGAAGAACACGACGGATTAGGTACCGTGCGCCTGTTATGTTATGCATTATCATATTATTATTATTATTATTGTTTGACTTCTTTACAAAACGCAATATCGCACGCATTCGTTTGTGAGTTGCCCATAGTTCTTGGTCGACAAGCGATCAAAACAAATCCTTCGAGCACTCTAGTTATAAATGTGTTTCACACGGCCGACTCGAAGCGAGTGGGTTGAACACAGCTAAAAAAAAAAAGTAAAATACAAATACAAACAATACAAGTAATAATCTAGACTCCGTTTTAAGTGTAATCGCCCGTACAACCGTTACAATATAGAATTTCTTCGGTTGGGAGAATACATATGTGTATAATAATAATTTAACAAGACGAGCACACAACATACGCGCATAGCTTTGCGATTACAATTATTGTATCATATTTATTGTTGTATAATATATATTTTCAATACGGTTCATTTGACAGCGGCACACTCCGACGCGGGTTAGTCTTGGCCGTTTGAGTGGAAAAAGAAAAATACGATTTTTCTCGGCTAACGACGTCGTTTTTCACACGAGTGTGTACTGAGGGGGCGAACAGTGTGTGCGTGATTTGAACCCGATACCTTAAGCACTAAGTCCGAAGCCTAATTATACCACATTGACACGATTACTATTTGAAAAATAAAATAACATAACACCCATAGGTGTTTAGAAATGTTAATAAAATTGATTGTTTTTACTACAACGTTTTTGTATGGATATTAAAACTTAAAAAAGTTCACAAACATACAAATAATCGCTTTAATAAACTTAATACAATTATTGCAAATTTCGTTAAACTTGTTTTTTCACCAACAATATTACTTTCCAACGGCGATAGAGGGAGTCGACAATTTTTATTTTACTTTCAAAAAAGCACATCTTGTGTGTGTGTTGTTTTTTACTTGATGAACGACCATTAGTGTAACGAGTTTTGGAGGGGGACTTAACTTACGACGAAGCCGTAAGTCAAGTCGTACTCGTGTGCGGACAGCCGGCACGATACGTCCCACGATCGCTAGTAATTGATGTAGGAAAACTTGAGTACTAAACACTCTTGTTCATTAGGAAAAAAACTAAATTCTATTACCGATACAACGGTTTTATTATAACATTGGATTTGGACCGGATAATATTATAATGTTGTTTGTTGGCGCTAACAGGCATCAGGGTTTCGCTGTAATTTATTTTCCTAGACAACTTTATATCAAGTTACAAAAAAAAAAAAAAAACCAAGTAACATAATATTATATAAAAATGTTTTATTTTTTGTCAGTAATTATATATTCTATTAATTAAATTCTGGCCAACCCGAATCGCCGACAGAATAGTGTTAGCCTTTACAATATTAGTGTCGCGTTTATATTATTTGGTTAAAGGGCGTTCCATTCAAAATATTGTACTAATAGTGACTTTTTTATGTATAAAAAATCAAAACGGTTATTTTATAATAACTGTGTGTATAATGAAAAAAAAAACGAAAGAAACTCGGAGGACTAATTATAAAAAGAGATAATATTTTTGTTGCAGTGTTAATAAAAGCTTTAATCTCGTTTTTTTTAAGTTTAAATTAAAAATTGTAGGGCGTACTTCGTTTGCAATAGTTGTTGTTTGTCAACAAACAGTCGCTACTATTATTATGTATTATATTATATTTTGCGTAAGCACAATATTGTTATTCTTATGAATTAATCGACGTTTTTATGGCGTAAAAGTTCAAACGCAATATTTTATTATAGTTCTATAGAAATAGTATTGTCGTTTGATCGCACTGGCATTATAATATTTTAATAACAATTCAACGGAAGGTGCTACAGCTGTGTATAGGAATTATGCAAGAAAATTTTAATATATTTTTTCGAAAACTTTAGAAAATATGCCACTTACATGACTTTGTATTCTAAAGTGAATTTCTCCGTTCCCACAACGAGTATTAATATTTGTTTCTTTCAATTATTGCTTGCCTTGAGTATTAAATATTGCGGTTTCCAGAGAAAAACGATAAAAATAACGTTCTTCGTCGTATTGTGGGTAATATATATTTTTTATAAAACGGTTAATCAAACTGAAATTCATATTTCACGAGCTGGCAATGTTGTTTAGGTGTCTCCCGAGAATGAATTTGTAAAAAAGAAACGTACAATATTAAAACCCCTGTACTACTCCTTGCCATATTAAACAAAATATTATGTACAATACATTTATATATTTTAGTTAGTTTTGATTCCCCTAGCGAGTTAAGTGTTCTTATTTATTTTGTGGAATATTTTTTTAATCATGTAATTTCCCTCTTGTCTCGAATTACCAGATTTTTTATCACCCGAATTTAAAAAAAAACATGTACTCATATAATTTCTTTATTTAAGAGTTACTTATTGTTGTATATACATATAAGTATATATTTATTATAATTTAATTAAGATTTTTTAAAAATTTGCTATACTTTACTCCTTAAAAATAGCCAGTGTGGCATCCTCTTAAGTGAGCTTAGATATTTAATATTTTTAACTAATATAGTTATGTTTACCATAGTAATAACGAACAAATAAAAAATTTTAATTTTTATATTAATCTATTAACTAGAGAAAATATTTTTTTTTCTATTTAAAAACACAATAACTCGACAAATCTTATCGAGATCAGCTGGAGATAAGTTATATATTGTTTATATGTTTCCACTTTGGCTACAGAACTACTACGTGGCGTACACAATAATGCGCGTTGAGGTCGAACTTGATCTGGCACAGTGTTACCGTGGTAGTGAAGTGTCACATAGGTACTCGATAGTATGGTTATGATTATGGCAATGTAACTTCTATAAGTAGTTCGATCCGTCTAGTCTTAGAGTTTAACGATAACGGGAATATGCCCGGCAATATGCTTGTTTTGTCGATATTGGACATTTCTTCAAACAGTACTATCTCGCTATGATTGGAAACGTGTTACAAACAGCCGAACGGTTGTTCGGTCAATTATTCTTTTATCGGATAGACTAATATGATTATTTATTTTTACCTGGTAGAGAGCCGGATCGCTTCGGCGTCCGAACCGGAGTCTAAGCGAAGGCGACCTCTGATTTTTGCGGACCATGCGGTGCTGGGCGGCGGCGGCTTCCAGTAGAGGATTGGCGACCGACTCCAACAGTTCCCTTTGCATTAGCAGATCGTACAATTCTCTGGCGTCTAAAACAAGTTTTAAGTTAGATGGTACTATACGCAAAGGTCCACCGGTGAACGGATTGCCCAAGTCATAAACGCCCTAACGATATTATACATCAATAATTATTATGAATTTAATCCCTAGGGAAAGATGTGGGCTAGGTTGGCGGGTAGATACACATACTATGTTTCCGTCCGGACGACAGTCCCGCCGTTATAATAATAATATTTATGTCAGTGAAACATGAATATAAAAGAATACACATCATCAAACACAAGTCTGTCTATTGGTTTGTTGTGACTGTTCACAGTGTCATTATTGTTTATTATGGAAAATCGCCGGGTTCGTTCGGAGGGGAAAACAAAAGTGTCGTCGAGTGTCTCGAGCGGTTCGAGTGGCCGGTCGGGAAAAATCGCAGATAACAATAAGCGCGTACGAAAAACGTGCGCCGAACAATGCTATTCAGGTCAGGGGTACAATCTCACGGTAGAAGAAAAAAAAACACACACACATTTAAGTGCATCGAGGTCTTATAATAATAATATATTCACTCGGGAGCTTTAATCTACCGAAAACGAATGGTGTTTTATTGAAATTATTTTTGCACGCACAATCCGTTTTAAGATTGCAAAATAAGCGAGTCTATAGCTGTTGTAGACTTTTCAGTCGAACCGTGACGAAAAGTTTGACCGTCTAAAAGTGACTAAACTGACAGTCAAGTTAAAAATAAGTGTGCAAACAAGAGTATTGTCATATCACCCGTTTCGCCTAGTCACGCGCTGACGTTCGGTTAGTTTCATCTTTAAATCCGATAATTTCATTTTCACACACACAACCCGTCCAACGTACCTGTCGTTAGTGTATTATGTAGCCGAGATTTAAGTAAGATACCTAAACCGAACTCCCGAAATACTTAACAAAAAAAAAAGACTGACCCCACTGCATATTTCAAATTAATCGAACGGGTCATAATTAGCCTTTACTTGATGGTTGAAATTTGCCTCACTTTTAAGCAGGGCATAATATGGGCAGTGAATAAGAATGACCAGAAAAAGATATTGATGGGAATTTCAATTTAATAGATCACAACTGAAAACGATTTTTGTCTGGTCTAAAATGGCAATTAAAAGAGTTGGGCAAATTAGCAATTTAAGAATCCGTTTTTTTTTTATTTACTTTAAGGCCTTTTTCTTATAAATAGTTTAAATCCCATTTTATTATATATTTTAATTATTTTTAAAATTGTTTCATTTAAATTGTTTGTTGCGATTGATAAATTTGTATATATTATGCAAATACATAGTATGTGGCGATTACTGTCGATATGTCTACAAAACAGTTTCTTGGCAAGAAATGCAAGAGAAATTTTTATTTATTCATTAAACAACTTTTTTCTTCTGAAAGTCAAGACCAAAGCAAAGTAGAATTTAGTAAATACAATGTTGATTATATAAAACGGATTTTCGCTTCTATTATGAGTATTGTACAAAAAAAAAAAAATGTCGTAAGTGTTATTTATAATATGCAAGAAAATATAATGGGTTAATAAATAATGTATATTGGTATTGATTAAACCAGTTCTTTTTTATTGTGGGTTAGCAATGTATGACCTAATAGTCAGTAAAACCAATCGGATACTTTTAATGCAATTTGTATTGTTATACACGATTATAGTACTCATAGATATTAAAACTAACAATTTTTTGTTTGTTCAAATTTCGGCAGTTGTCCCATTTTTGATTTCCTATAGTATTTTACATTGGGCGTACAGGACGATACTGTGAATACAAATACTGGTTTTCTATTACATTATTTTCTGTGGGCGCCGTCAAACTACATTTTTTTAGTAAGTGCCCACCTAGTTTGGAAGCTGATTACAAACGGATCGATTCAATTATGATATTTTCTACCCTACGCGCGTTAGATAACCGTTTTGGTGAAATTTTTTTAAAATTAATTGCATTTTTTTTTTTTTGCTTAAGAATTTCTATTCTTTGCAATTGATTACACATGCAAATATTTGTGACTTTTGTAAGTCGTACCCGGTGAATCAGCTAGCTGTGATAGATTTCTATAAAGGCGAATAAGAGCATATTACGGGCAACAATCACAACAGCTAACGTGTGGTCTTAGGTGTTATGTGTTAATGTGCTTACTTTCATAGTCCGAGTAAGTGGGTGCGGACGATACGACGGCGGAGATGAGGAGCAGCGACAAGATTGTTACGGATTTCATGGTTTTTTCTCCTTCGATTTAATCTGTTTAATCTAAAAAGCAAAATACAAGAGTCAAACAATTAATTATAAGAACATTGTTTTATCGCAAGGGCGTGCGGTATAAAATAAAAAAAATTAGCCTTTACCATAATAATGTATGGAGCTATATTAGAGAGTACGGCTTGTGCAACAGACCCAAATAAACCGTTAAATGTCTACATTGTGGCAAAAGAAAGGCTTCAAAAAATTCCTCCCCCAATAAAATTCCAAGCACGTTTCGTGCGGTTTACTATGTAAACATAGAAACAATACACCATATATATGGTAGTCATAAAAATTATACTTTGCAAGTGTCAAGTCAACATTCGTTCAGAAATATTGCGTGTTAAACGCATAAACGTGTCGTTGACTCGAGGGAAATAAATCAAAACGCTAGATACCCTTTTCGGTAAGAGGAAATAGAGTAGGCGTTAAAATGAAAGCACTAGAAGGGCGACACATTTCACATTTAGCACTGAACAGCCAAAATGCAAAGTCTGTTCAGTTACAGATAGTTTACTCGGTTATTTAATTTAAATATTTTGCATTGTTTAAAAAAAACCCGTTATGGAATTTACACCATTAAATGATAATGTTCTTAGAGCAAAAAAAAAATTTCATATGGTAACTTTTAATTCTTCACCTTAATTTTGCTTGGTGACAAATTATCAATGAATTATCGAGATAGAGAGGACATAAAGAAGAATTACATCCAAGTAGGAACAACAAAATATATAGGTAATAAAATAAAAAACGTATTATAATAATTAAAATAGAAATAATTATTTTAAAGTCCCATTGAATACAACGTAAAATAATATATTTGATTAGTAAATGTCCACAATACTGTATTCGGTTAGCATAATAATATGGAGTTTTGATTGATAAACAACATATAATGTTGTTTTTGAACATTTTAATTTAAACACTTATATATATTTCATGTACCACACAATCATTATTACCGGATACAGAAAAGAGTAATCATAAAAAGAAAAACCACAAACATTACCAACGTCCTTAGAGGACTTTTATTGATTTGATATGTAATATTGTTACAAAACTGTGTTGGTTTTCCACGGTCGAACGATAATTGCAATTTTATGAGTTTTATATTTTGCCGTCTATCGGTTGCAAACTATCGTTTGGTGTTGTTATTTACCACTTTGCCCCCTCCCCCCAACCCCCAAACGAATGAACGATTTTTATTTCAAGGAACATTTTGCCATTGATACAAATTCTGAACACAAACGACATTTGCGCTACTCGCAATTATTTCACTATTTCTGAATAATATATTTACATTTCTTATTTGATACTGATCAACATTCGAGACTAATTCAGATGGATTTCGATAGACGTTCAAATATTAAAATATAGTGTCTCGCTGTTTTATCGAATGCAACACTACATACAATTACTTTCCGAGAACATGTCAGTACCTACGGATTCTATCGGGCAACGTTAAATGAATTATTTCCCCGTTTCAATCACCGGACAACGGTAAGTCCTATACATACACACACACATACATAGTATACGTCTAAGCACGTGACATAGTTGTAAATACTCTCGGCAAAACAAGTTACACTTGCTTCGCATATAATCCAAGTAAGACGGTCGTTTTGATACAGCGGCAGCCGGTGAAATATTAATGTGTTCTTCAAACGGTCCGGCGGATTTGTAACGTCTGTCCTGGTATTGAAAGTCCAAAACGATAATACTTTTATAATACGGTTGGTTCGCCTATAACACCGTCGTTGGATTGGTCGATGTGCATGTATGTCTAGATTGAAGTTAATTGAACCTGTTGATTTTGTGCTATGCAATTTTTCGCACCGGGGCGCTTATAATATGTGGTCATGAATGTTTTTAACTGGAAGTCTTTATGTAAATTTGTATTCCGTTCGAATCAGGGAGCGTTAGCTATTGTTTTTAACACCTTATTTTGAAAGGTTTGATTTTTTTCCAAGTGTGTAGGTGCGCAACTGTTCCAAAATAGGGCAAGCGTAGGCAATGGTAGTGGACGTAGGATTTGCTTATGCATTAATAGTGAACATTTTTTTATGTATTGCAGATTTTTTTTTTAGTATAAGGAACAACATCGAAAGGCGCTGGTATGCTTGTTGTAGTTTGCTTGACATAATCTATGTGGCCATCACGTTAGCTTGTACAACAACGACATAGGCTAAAACTAAAACTCCTGTGCTTTTTGAAGGTCTTACACCAGATTAGTAATACATTAAGACGGTCCTGTAGGTTGACGGTTATCGATTCAATGTTAGTTGCAATAATAACACAATATGTATTATATCGACAGGTTCACGGGTGACGTTTTATGTAATTTTTTTTTCAATATACAACCCTAACAATAAAATGTATACAAAATTCTTCTGACAGAGCTTAGCACAGCCTATCTGAAAATATTTAATTCCGGATTCATTTGGTTTCGACGCCTCGGTGTCGGGATAAAGCTGTCAACGGACTTGACGTTTTCTTGCATTTAGTATTTTACTTTTTTTCCCCTTGTCAACGGACAACAACGGGGATTATAAAGTAATTTTTCTTGTATTTAATCCGTTCAGAATTCGCGTTGAATTAATCATAAAACTATATTAATTTTTTTTCATAAAACACAATATCCGAACCGCATACACCATTGTGTACTAACAATAATATATTATTGTCGATCACTGGGTTGGATTATCGTCTAGCCCTGTCTGTTGTACTAAGATGTCGATACACATTATGTTATTCATTAAGTATACAAGTTAAGCGCGAAAAATACAACAGTTTTATCGAAGACGGATGTGACGGTTGGAAAACAGATGAAAATAATCATAACTATATTTGATTAAAAACAAAAGTCGACCGGCAAACGACTGTAATGCGGTTTGCTCATCCCATATAAACTAGTTTATGTGCTTGTGATAAATTTAACATTACCGTATTAAGTGCAAATTTGTACAGCTAACAAACAATGTAAATTGTGCACAACGTACATAATATGTCTGTGTGTTGCGATTGATCAGCAAATTGTCCATTTTGGTTTCCTATTGTCTTGCCAATAAACTATAAATTGAATACGGTTCGAGAACAAAAAAAAAGTTTCCTTTAAATTGTTAGTAGCATTTCTCCGACTGGGAAAACAAATTCGAGCAATACACACTTCTCTGAAGACAGTTTTAAAAGACAAATTAAACGTTTGTGTACATCTATAAAACCGTACGGTTTAATGGCGGCGGTTTGAATAAGTAATTATCCCAGAAATTAAAATCAAAATGTAGTAAAAATAACTGCGCAGCAGAACACAATGAAATCCCATAATTAAGCTTTGGGGGGTAATAAAAAATAGTTTTACTAATGAATATTCAACTAATGCGCTTGGATACAATTGCGCATATTATAACCAAATAACATAAAACAATTAATATAATACGCAGTATGTTATATCTCTAGACTCCAGCTACTTGTTTAGATTATAACCTTTACTGTATACATATATTATATTATATAATTTATAATAAAATTCTAGTTATCAACTTTCATAGAAAAATCTTGAAGTCATTAATCGTTGACGTTTCAACTTTCATCGAACATTTTTTATTTCTACTATACAAGAGTAATATTTATCAAATGCAGTACAGCTTTTACAATAGTATAAGTATGCGTTTTTAATGTTTGATTTGTGTAGCTCAATTCAAACAATGAGACGTTTGAGATTATTAAATGTATAATAACTGCGTATAGGGTTTCAAGAGGATATGTTTTTAAGAAAATTAAACGTTTTTCCGCAAAATGATAATATCTATTGTTGTTTTCTTAAAAATAATTCCTTGAAGTATATTTCAAACTTAAAAGACTATAACGATATATTTTTGCTCGTTTTTAATTAAGCTGAAACGGTTTTTATCCGCGTTAATAATACCTCCATGGTTGTTTTCATAAACCTATTACACTTAACTTTTAAGATTATAAAACATTGTTAATTGACGTTTAAATTTTCAAGTAAAGGTAGACGGAGAACAAATTACGTCGAGTTAGGTTATTTGGCGAAACAAACGACTAAGGTTCTCTATAAAACTTAAACGTTCAATTACAAAAGTTTATATTTCATAATAGCGCGGACAGATTGACTTCAGAACGCCTGTTAATTTTTACTCATCCTTAGTAAACTTCTATAATATGATATAATTTGAATATATTTTATCTAGTATTCAGCACGTTGGGTCAAATACTCAAAAATCTCAAAAAAAGAAATGTCTTCTATTGTATTACGTAGAATGTAATAATTATTGCTTGCTAAAGTTATAAGTTAAAAATATATTAATTCAATACTTAATTGACTGGTTAAGCAGTATTGAAAATACATTCTTCAAATTGATATTTTATCTTCAATGTTGGGAATTAGCTAATGGTAATTATTTTTTTTTATAGTTTTTTTGCATTTGAAGCATAGTTATATTGTGATATATAGCGACGTACTGTTTTTTATAATACATATTATACGACTAATTCTAAACATTTAAACTTCTTATAAAAAAACTTAATATTATTTTCTCAAAATACCTTTTTTTGTAATCGAAAAAAATCAATTTTCTTGAAAATGTATTCAGTGTGCATTGCCAAAAATGTGTTTTGTTCGTTTAAATAAATTCGTTCCATTCAAGTATTGCTATTAATATGCACGTCTCGTGAAAAACGGTCAAACGGTTTGTAGGTTAGCTTCCATGCTTCGAAACGAATACAAAAAAGCTGCGTTGTTTGTAGATAGGACCAGATGCTGTCAAGGAAACTTTAAGATAAAATTCCATATTAAGTTGAAATTAAATTGAAATGCTCACTTAATAACGTATAGAACATAAATCCACACTGATATTTAATAGTATAGTTTTTAATTGTTTAATATAAAAGTCCACGCACATTTTTTTTCGTTCCAAGTTAAAAAATAAATAGTAGTTGTAGGTAAATTTTAAAAGTTTATTAGCCATGTTGTACAAATTCGATGAAAA